GGATAATGGGACCTGCTTTGGGGAGCTGTTGTATGAAAGAACTAAGATCATACATGTGGAAGAATCTTTGATCTATACATGTAAAATATAAGATTTTTATATTTTGTAAGAAGACTAATGAACTGTTTGAGGCTAGTTGAACTCTAGGTTTCCCTCTCAATCTAATGCCCCCCACTTCTAGAGCTGGAGGAGATCCCACACATTTTATCAAACTTTATTTTATAAATGTTGAAACTAAAGATCTATAGGATGGGGTAAATTAGGTTTACAGTTGTGAGTATGCAAAACACAGAATTTATTCTTGTGTTATTATTTATTATTTGTATTATTTTCCATACAACCAACTGTAAAACTACTTTTGCTCAGCCCTGTATAAAACTGTGATATAATATTATACATTATCTACTAGCCAAGGAGATCCTAGAAGTAAATTATTTTTTCTTTGTTTTCTCCCCCAAAATAGTTGAATATCTAAAAACATTTTTCCTAAAAGGTTTAACACTTTTTTCTATGATGTTCTTCTGGACTCCTTGTAAACAGAACAAATATAATGAAGAAAAAAACATTGATTCTGAAAATTTTCACCTAGTAAGATAGCATTTCATATTTATTATTTTGAGCCCTCTTCATTTTAATAGGACTTAGAAAGATAACCAGTAAAACCATATAATACAGTGCTAAAATATTTATTATATATAAGAAGATATTTTTATGACTACTAAATGCAAATAATGATAATATATGTCTTTAGCATTTTATAAAATTAAAAGCATTTTAGGTCCACTGTAAATAATGACATATTACTGATTTGTTAAAAATGAAACATAAGTTATAAATATTAACTTTAAAATCAGTTCAATCTCAGGAAAGTCAGGATACAAGCTGATAATCTTGTAAAACTAGGAACCAATGTACATTTCATGACTCTGAAAAGCCAAAGGAATAAGTTTCTTATAAAAAAAATTTTTGCTACTGCCTTTTCTATGGCATTTTATTGGTTTCAGGTGCAGTGGGAAATAGTTAAAAATTATATAATCTGACAAATTACAATTAATTTTCAAAAATCATTAATTTCGAAGAAACTACCTCTATATGAGGCTACTAATATGCCAACAAACATTTCAACAAAGTCAAATATGGACTATATATCTCACTGAGCTAAGAGTGAATAGAATTACAATGTAATGTAATTACAAATAGTTCTTAAGACTGCAAAGGCAATATGATTAATGACCTTTTAGCTAAAAATGGGTTGCAGAGTACATTTACTTGCAATTGGGTATGCACGATTTTTAGAAATAAAAGATGTTCTTTGAAAACTCACTCTCTTTAGGGTAAACGTTTTGAGTGGTTTTGTCGATAAGATTGATTAACTGAGTTCATAGTTTCCTGGATGGTCCTGTGTCTTTTTTTTTGAGGAATTTCACGGGATATTTCAGCATTCTTCAGCACCCAAGAACTATCACTAAGTGAAAATCTCAATGGAAGTACCTTCATGTGGGCAGTAGTTCTATCATTGCAAGAAATGGTTTATGCAGCCGATGGCCTTCTCTCATTAACAAATGTCATTAACCAATAACCATACCAGGTTTTGTTTATTTGATTGTTTAAAAATATGTAGTCCTAACAAGAACATCACAATGACTATCTATCTGGTAGGGTTAATATAATTAAAACATGTCTATTTTTGGACTTTGATTATGTGTGGAGATCAACTCCAAAGAGAGAAGAGAATTTAATTATCTAGATAAAGTCTGAGTAACAAGACATTTTCATCAAAACATTTGAAAATATTTAGGAAAATAGTGTTTTTGGAAATTATCCAGATATTATAAGATTGGAGGCTGTGTGCTAAAATTAACTGGGTTATTGCCAACATTTTCCAATTTATTTTCAATTTGTACAGAAAATCTAAATAGTCATTTAAGTTTGATAAAAAAAAAATAGCTGCAATGCAGTTTTCTATGTAAGAACAAAAGTATGTTGAAGTTATTTTATTAACATGTTTTAATGGGAAACAAATGGAATGGTTTTGTTCGTTTCTGAGTTGCATTTTCTTTTCTAAACGACATTAGATTACAAAAGCAGTAAAAACAAGCACAACTATACATTAAACAGGGACTTTTAAAAAATATACAATCTCATGTTTCTTTTAGACACTTATCATTTCACAACCAAGGGAAACATGCATATAAGTTTAGAACTCACATAGCTGAAAGAGAAATCAAAATCATGCTCACATAGACCCCAAATCATCATCACTCGGGGAGGCAGGCCCCACTTCTTTTAAAGGTGCATTATTGCCTGATTTAGAGGCAGACGGGGGCTGTGGGGCCACATTCCATGATGGAGAGCCTCTAGAGACATCTTTGATCATTCTTTGTGATGCATAAAATATGTCACAGTCGTACTATAAAAGATATCAGCCATCAGGTAAGGCTGTCATTTGCCCTTGTAGGATTATATTGGAAAAATACAGCTTTTCTCTCTTGTACTTGTATGGGATTACTGCTCATGAAAACACAGCCTATTTAGTCTGCGTGCGACCATTATCATACTCCTGGTTTCTCTCAAAAGAAAGTAGTCATAAATAAACATGCTAAAGAGAATAGATCTGGTTGATATTTTGTTTGAACATTCACCCATTTCATAAGTTGTTAGAAGCTGTGAATATGTTAGGCACTGGGCTCCATTAAGGCTGGGTTCTACAAAAGGGATGCATATTTCTCCAGAGACCAGTTGCTTTCATTTGATTTCTGTTATGCATACATCTTAGTTTACTTCAAAATCTGAACCTATGTCACAAATAATATTTATAACAAAAGAACAATAGCAGTAAACTATTCCAAAATGTTATATTCTGATTTCTCAGCTCCTCACATATTTTTTAAATTATACATGTGTTTGTGAGACAGAGAATTGGCTTTACTAACATAGTTAAGGTAAAACAAACTACAATTATTTGTGTTATAACAGCAGTACCTTTCCATTCAATTGGCTATTTACATATTAATATACATATAGTGTTTGTATCTTACAACTGCATTAGTGTTTTTTTCATATTTTAAAATGGTTGAGAGGCTGATGTAAACATTTATTTTGGGGCAAAAGATTTTTAAAGGGTATAAAAGTGTTGGAAATATTTTAATATGCAATCTAATTGAAAAGTGATTTTTACCATTGAATCTCTAAGTGATTACTGAGGTGTTTGCCAAGCGTAATGATTTAATTGACTGTGCATCTTGGTAATATTTGCTAGAGAGCTTGTCAAATACAATGTTTCTGTCTGAAAGCATTTGGCTCCTAACCCAACAAAAAACCAAACAAATAAGATATGTAAACTATGTCGAATGCATGTTAAGTTTGAACAGCTGACAAGAGTGTTGCTAAAAGAACAAAAATGCAAATTTCTGATAATTTCATCTTTAATAACTGTCTGCCTTTTAAAAATAGTCTCAATTCACTATTTTTATCTAGCAAAGTATTGCTTCTTGCATTTAAAAATTTAGCAACTTATTTATAAATTGGGGAGGAGGAACCCCTTTTGATGGAGAAATAACATACGGTATAACAGACTGGATCGATTAAAGGCCTCCATCTGGCCCAGGTCTAGAAAAGTTGCTGCCATATGTTTTAAACAGCACAGCAAAACTAACTGTTTTATACTGTCACCACCTCGAGATCTGTTTTATAAATTGCTTTTTGTTTTAATATTTATGCATATATGTGTATATGCATACGTATATATATATATACATATGAAAAATGTCAGTAATATTTTATCTATGGTCGCTTGCCTAATTGGAAAGCAGACACTATATAAAATTTTAAAAAGGTCTTTGGTCTTCATGGTTCAGTGTAAAAAGCAGTTGACAGCTTTAAAAAAAGAGAGAGAGAGAGAGAGAAAGAGGATGGGGGAGAGAAAGAAGAACAGAGTTTGCTGTAATTAGTTTACTCAGTAATGTTTAATCTTAAATGACTTCAGATTAATCTACAATGATAGCATGTGTTTGAGGATTACTAAACAAGATGGAATAATACTAACAACATCTTCAGGGAGAAAATTCTCTAAAATTCATGTGAATAGTAAAGACCGGTTCTATCAGACGTGGGTTCAGTAGTTCTGTTTTTTTTAAAGGTAAGATTTCATAAAGATAGATTTAAAAATCAGAATATCTATGTTGCTGTTGGAAAAATAGCATATCAGGTTCAAATGAAATTTAGGAATGTTAATCTCTTTTGCAGCTGCTATTTTTGTTTTATGGTATTTTTACAGCTGTTTTTAATTTCTTTTAAGAAATACTAAACCTTTAGGAGAATTCCCATGTGAACAACCACAGCACAGATAATTGGTTTCATTGCAATTCAGATTATGAACATCATTTTTCTGTTGTTACTTTCAAACTATATACATAGCGCAATCTGTAAGCCATTTTCTTTCCTCAGCTACTATCAAAAGGGGAAAAATCAGTTAAAAGCCTCCCAGAGCCTTGGTCTTTATCTGATAGGGTGTGATGTTTAAAAATATTTACCTTCCTCAATAGAACATTAATATATCCTATATGGTATGTGCAGATGTAACCTATATATTTTTATTAAGAAAACCAGAACAACATAAATTATGAAAATTCTTTCAGAACTACGATCACTTTAATAAATTTCAGGATTGGCATTTATCATGCCATCCTGTTTCTATACCTAACATTGTCTCCTTTGATTAATTATTGCCCCGGACTGTATATCTTCATTTAGAAGCATCTTTGATTAGCAGCCACACCTAGACCATGCAGTTTTTAATAGAAGCCTCCCTTCCCAGGCAAGCCGCAGGGGAAAGTAATTAAATTTAATAGAAGCCGTCTTTGTTTTATAGCCACCCTCAATTTAAAGCCACAGGGGTAAGTAATTAAATTTAATAGAAGCCATAGCTTCTAAACAAAGATATACAGTATCAGTTAGGTATGCAGAAGTAGAGGAATAAGAAATATTCTATCTTGGCAGTTAGGCAGAGGGTGGGTTTCTGTGAAGCAATGTTAAAGAAAATGCAAAAGTTCACAAAATACTTTTTTTTAAGAAGTGATTCAAAATGGGTGGGGAAGGTGGAGTAGTCACCCAGCATGTGTTCCCAGGGCAACAAGAGAGGCGGGGCTGCTCCACGTCCTCGCGAAACCACAATAGCTTGGATAATTGCCTGGTGGGTGTCCTGCGTGCTCTCCCCCTCCAACATCAGTGGAACACACGTATCATGCGCACTCAAACACCGAGTGCCGTAGACCAGTTAGCAGCAATTTATGGGAACATTAGAAATTTGATTGCGTGTTCATTTCTTCTAAATCTGAGCTGATGTTTTTTGTTGTGTTGTGTTTGTGTTTTCAATTATAGTGATGATGGGCTCTCAGTTACCCTGCCGGCAGCCAATGGGTCTGCTCCAGACGCACCAATTGGGTGGCAAATTTCAGATTCCTTGTCCTTTAACAGGCTGTCCAACTACACCATCTAAGTATCCTCATGGACATACCGAGAGGCTGATGAAGAAATATCCTAGAATTCACACTGACCATACCAAAAAAAAAAGAGACAGAGAAACGTTTGAGGCTTTTCCCCCACAAAGTGCCATGTAACCAGTTTCGATTCTTATATTTTATTTTGAGTTTTAATACTGCTTTAAATTCCAATCTTCAGCATCATGAGGAACATGTTTAATCCAAGCGTTCTCATGGTTGGCGTTTTAAATAATGCATGAGCCTCACCTAGGGCAAAAGCCCAGCATGGGAGCAGAGCAGCCAGTAGCATACCCAGCGATATCCTAAGTTCATTGCCTTTCGAAGACAGTGCATAGTTACTTAAAAGGGGAGGAGAGGAGACTGACATTCAGCAGCCCAGATGGTGAGAGACAATGCAGCTGCCCTGTAGGCATATGGTGCTCAGAAAATGTATTGAGTGTGTTAATAAGGAAAGTAAACGGGTATTTTAAGTAGCATGTGAGTACAACATGGATGGTGACTAGGGGACATGAGAGTAGGCGCAGAGAAAGCCTCTGTGTGAGAGAAGGATACACAAGGAAGGTTTATAACATGCATATTTAGTTATCAGACATCTGAATATACTTAGAAGTTATTAAGTTGTGTTTGTCCTTAACACATGAACAGACTCAAGTATTTTGTGATTTATCAGTGGAAAACGAGGTTTTGTAACTAACAGCTGTTACCCAAACAACTTAAAAGAATATTAATTCTACTTCGGAGTAACAAATCCTTTACAATGAGTACCTTTGCTTGTGACACAGCCTGCAGGCAACTGACAAATGTAGTCTTTCTAGTTGGGAGGACTTAAAATATCTCCAAATGTAACCAGCAACCACAGGTTTCTTTCCATTAAAGAATCTTGGCCTGGCTGGTGTGGCTCAGTGGTGGACATTGACCTATGAACCAAGAGGTCCCTGGTTCAATTCCTAGTCAGTGCACATGCCTGGGTTGCCAGCTTGATCCCCGGTAGGAGGCGTGCAGGAGGCAGCTGATTGATGTGTCTCTCTCATAGATGCTTCTATCTCTCTATCCTCCTCCCTTCCTCTCTCTCCAAAAGTAATAAAAATGTTTTAAAAAAGAATCTTAAAGTATCAATGGTATTATTCCCAAATTTTGTGATTGCCTCATGAAAGTACCTATAATTTTTTCCCCCCAATATGAAGTTTCCAAAAGTATTCATTGTTAAATGTGCGGGGCATATCAGACTTTATTATCATTATTCCTTCTCCACTGAGATTTTTTATATCTGTATTTCCCTTTTCCTTTTTATCACCTTTCAAATAAATCTCTGAATGGACTCTTCCCACTTTTCTGTCCATTTCTTTCCTTCAGGAATTTTCTTCTGTTTGGACCTTTGAAACAGAAAATGCCTTCACACAGTGTCCTCCTGGCCACCCTATTTGGGTTCTCCAAGGGGATTCTAATTTAACAATATTTTCAGAATAGGTAGAGTTGGAATGTCTCAGTTCCCTGCCTCCTTTGCCAGGAAGGCTACCTTTTGTTAAAATTTTATTTTATTGTTTAAAGTATTATAGATAGTAGTACACATGTCTCATTTTTTTTTCCCCACTGACCTTCCCCCTTTTGCCAGCCCACCTTGACCATGTGTAGCTCAGGCAAAGCATTGCTCCCACACCATTTGGATGGGTGCAAAGTTATTTGGAATTGCTGGTATTGAATAACATAACTCTACTACTAAAACATTTAAAGTCCGCCCAGCCAGCATGGCTCAGTGGTTTAGCATCAACCTACAAAACAGGAGATCATCGTTTGATTCTCCAGTCAAGGCACGTACCCAGGTTGCAGGCTCTATCCGAGGTGTAGGGTGTGCAGGAGGCAGCCGATCAGTGACTCTCATCATTGATGTTTCTCTCTCCCTCTCTCTCTCTCTCTCTCTCTCTCTCTCTGTCTCTCTCTCTCTCTCCATATCCATTCCTCTCTGAAATAAATAAAAAATATATTTTGAAAATTAAAGCCAATTTCTATATTTTTACATTCTCAAAGGGCTGGAAGTAGGTGATTTCCTAATTTATTTTATTTTCATATCCATTGATATGCACCTGAATGATCTGACAGTTTCTGGTGAATGTAATGAGAGGAAGGGCTTTTCAGGTCACTCCAAACCCAGCTTTAATATATAAATGGGAACTACTTCCGATGAATGCATTTTTTTAAAAAGTAATTTTAATAGATTTTAGAGAGAGAGGAAGGGAGAGAGAGTGAAACATCAATGTGAGAGAGAAACATCAATTGAACCCTCAATCTGTTGGTGTATTGGGACGATGCTCTAACTGAGCTGCCCAGCCAGAGCAGTTGTTGAGTGTTTTTTAACATGAAAGGATGTTGAATGTTTTCAAATGCTTTATCTGTATATTTTGAGATAATCATGTGATTTTTCAATCCTTCATTCTATTATAGTTAAAATATTAATTGGTGTTGAAACATCCTTGCATCCCCGGAATAAATCCCACTTGCATAAATCTTACATGGTAGATTATCCTTTTAATGAGCTGCTGTATTTGGTTTGCTAGTATTTCTCCTGATATGGCCATCCCTTCTGTCTTTTGATTACCATTTGCACAAAACATTCTTTCACTTTCAGCACATGTATGTCCTTAAATCTAAAGTGAGTTGCTTGTAGGAAGCATATAGTTGGAATCTTGTTTTATTTGTAAATTCATTCTGTCTTTTAATAGAGTTGAATCCATTTACATTTAATGTAATTAATGGCATTATGGAAATTTTGTTAGTTGTATTCTGTCTTTCTAATAGCTCTCCTGTCCTTCTTTTCCCTTTTTACTGTCTTGCTTTGTGTTTCATTGATTTTTTTTGTAGTGACATGCTTTTATTCCCTTTTATTTTATTTTGTGTATTTACTGTAGGTGTTTATTGGGGTTACCATAGGGCTTACATCAAACATCATCTATAATAATAAATGCATAATATGCTAATCAGACTGGACATCCTTCCGGACAAGCTGGGGCTGTGAGGGAAGCCCAGGTCCTGGGTGCCTGCCAGTGGCCAGAGGAAAGCCTGGGTTCAGGGTGCCAGAGAGAAGCCAGTGCCAGCAGCTGGGGGAAGGAAGGCCTACTCCTGCACGAATTTGATGCATCGGGCTTCTAGTATAGTTACAAAAATAGATTTTAAAAAGACAACTTAAATTTAATCACATACAAAAACTCTACAGTTTTATTTCTTCTCCTGACACACTTTTTTTATTGATATCACAAATTACATTTTTATTATATATCCACTAACATATATTTATATATATTTTTATACATTTGCCTTTAACATCTATCTACTAGGTGTACCGGTTAATAATGGTAGATTTTTTAATCAAAGAAAACATGATAATTTCAAGAGAAACATCAAAAGTGCTTTCTTCAAAGTAATGTCCATCGCTAGCTACACATTTCCCCCATCTTTCAGGGAATCTGATGATACTGTCCCAAGAGAACTTTTCTTGTTTTGAGGCAAACCATTCAAAGACCCAATTTTCCACTTTTTCGTACGTTTTGAAGTGCTGCTCAGAAAGTGCATGTGCCATCGATCGGAACAAGTGGTAAACTGAAGGAGCAAGGTCTGGTGAATACGGCGGGTGGGTTAATACTTCCCAGGCAAGATCTTTTAACGTGTCTTTAACTGGTTTTGAAGTGTATGATGGTGCATTATCATGAAGCAAAATTACTTTGCCGTGTCTTCTGGCACATTCTGGTCGTTTCACGATCAAAGGTTGGTTCAAATTGATTATTTGTTGTTGGTAGCAATCAGTATTAATGGTTTCACCTGGTTTTAGAAGCTCATAATACCCCACACCTTCCTGATCCACCAAGGGCACATTGTCTTCTTTCTGAAGCGATTTGGCCGTACAGTCGATGTTGATGGTTGACCTGGATCAACCCATGATTTTGTGCATTTGGGATTCTCAAAATAAATCCACTTTTCATTGCCAGTCATAATTCAATGCAAAAAAGACTTTTTTTCATGCCGTTGAAGCAACATTTTTTTTAAAAAAATATTTTTATTAATTTCAGAGAGGAAGGAAGAGAGAGAGATAAAAACATCAATGATGAGAGAGAATCATTGATTGGCTGCCTTCTGCATGCTCCCCACTGGGGATCAAGCCCGAAACCTGGGCATGTGCCCTTGACCGGAATCGAA